CGAAAATTCGCTACGCCGTGTCGCTGCTGCGAGGACCCGCCATGGACTGGTGGCGCGTCATCGTCACGAAGCCGAATGACTACGCGACTCTACCGACACGGGAAGGACAAACCGGACCCTGGGCGCCGTCGTACTTCGTGGAGGTGCCCCAATATCGCACGTGGGACGCGTGGTGCGCAGGTCTGCGCGCTCGATTTGAGCCAATTGCGGCTTCGATCGCGGCGCGACAGAAGCTCCGCACTTGGCGCCAACTCGGTTCAGTCCAGGACTACACCAGCGGGTTTCTGGCGCTATGCGAGCAAGTGGGCTACATGCATGAGAGCGAGCGCATCGACCGCTACATCGGCGGCCTGAAGCACGACATCGCTCAAGAAATTCAGCTTCGCGGCGTCACCGATTTTCAGGAGATTCTCGCTATGGCGGAGAAGCTCGACTTCTTCCGCCGACCGAGACCGGGGTCCTACGGCAGTAGCAGCAACTGGGGACTTCGGTCTCGTGGGACGAACGAGGGCGCCACGATACGTGCCGTCGCCGCGAATGCCGCTGCCGCACCGTTCAAAGGGCGCTGCTTCGCGTGTAATCGGCCAGGACACCGCAAGAGCGAATGCCCGGAAAACGCAAAGGGAAAGGGGGAAGCTGAGCAGCAGAAACAGACCAAGCAGCAGGGAAACGCTGGGAGTCAGTAGCAGACGGGCCCTCTACTGACAGGTCACGCCGCTCGCCCGACCCAACCGACCCTCACCGAGTGATTGTGCCGGTTCACGCAATCGACCACACCCGGCCGAATAAGGAGGGTACTACGGTAGACAGCCCTATACTGCTTAGTGGGAAAATCGGGACGGACTTAGTTAAAATCTTCGTAGACGGGGGAGCCAGCAACAGCCTCATCAACACTGCTACAGCACGAAAACTGCGACTGCCACTGGACAGATGTTTACCTGAGATCGACGCACGACTGGTAGACGGCACGCCGCTGGCAATACGGGAACGCGTAGACCGGGTTCGGATTCGATGCGGGGGTAACTTCACATTTAGCCAAGAAATGCTCGCAACGACCCTCGACGGAACCGATATTTTACTCGGGCGTGATTGGTTGCGACGACACAATCCGCGAATCGACTGGACGACGGGTGACTGCACCGTGCGAGTGAACGGTAACCACATCGCCCTACCTCGCTGGGGCTCGCCAGAGTCTTCGTCGGTGCGTGTCAACGCGATCACGATGAAACGCGCCGTAGCGGCGGGAGCTGACGTGTACGCGGTCGACATTCGGGAAGCCGAGGCAGCAGACAAGGGAGGGGATTTGCAGAAACTGCTGACCGACGTACCGAGTGACCTGGCAGCACTGTTGAAGCAGTACAGCGACATTTTCCCGGACGACTTACCGACGGGACTGCCACCTCAGCGACCGCACGATCACAGAATAGAATTGGAACCGGGGGCACAGCCAACAGTACAGCGACAGTTCCGACTGACCCAGCCCGAACTGGACGAACTGAGGAAGCAGCTCGATTACCTGCTCGAGAAGGAGTTCATTCGCCCTAGTTCGTCGCCCTTCGCAGCACCGATACTGTTTACACCGAAAAAGGATGGGGGATTTCGCATGTGCATCGATTACAGAGCACTGAACAGGGTTACCATCAAATCCCGTTACCCCATCCCACGAGCCGACGAACTGATCGACCAACTGCGCACAGCCCGGGTTTTCTCGAAAATCGCCCTCCGGGGGGGTTACCATCAGATTCGTGTCAATCCGCCCGACTGCCCTAAAACCGCATTCCGAACACGCTACGGATCCTTCGAATACACCGTCATGCCCTTCGGACTGACCAACGCCCCCGCCACTTTCCAAATGACCATGAACGAAGCTTTCCGCCCACTCTTAGATAAGTGCGTCATAGTATACCTGGACGACATACTGATTTACAGCCCTGATAGAGCACAGCACTTACAGGACATCGAAGCAGTTTTTAAAATACTGAGTGAGAACCGCCTACTGACAAAAGCGTCTAAGTGTGAATTTTTACAGGACCGTCTGGAGTTTTTGGGACACGTTATTTCAGCCGCAGGAGTGGAAATAGACCCGAAGAAAATTGCGACGATTCAGGCGTGGCACGCGCCGACCAACTTGACAGAGTTGCAGAGTTTTCTGGGGTTCGTCAACTACGTGCGCCGGTTCGTCCCCGACATGGCAAAGCTGACTGCCCCGTTGACTGACCTGCTGAGGAAGGGGGTTGAGTACACGTGGGGGGAGAAAGAGCAAGCTGCCTTCTCGGCCCTCAAGAACATTTTGTACTCACCGCCCGTGCTTCACATCGCCGATCCACACCGTCCGTTCGAGCTCGTCACTGACGCAAGTGACATCGCTGTGGGAGCAGTACTGTTGCAGGATTTCGGGAACGGCCTCCAGCCAATCGCGTACGAGTCCCGCAAACTGCACCCGCCCGAACGCAACTACCCGATACACGACCGCGAAATGTTGGCGATCGTGCACGCGTTCAAGGTGTTACCTGACTGGCGCCGACGTGACAGTACGGACAGACCACCGATCACTACAGTACTTACGCGCCCAACCAAATCTCAATCCGCGACAAATTCGCTGGCTGGACTACCTCGAGTCCAACTTCCACTACACGGTTACGTACAAGAAAGGCGCATCCAACATCGCCGACGCACTCACCCGCCCTACCGCCCAACTCCACGCCATCCTACTCGCCCAGACCAACCCGCTGTTAACAGGCCTATTCACCCACGGATACCGCACCGACCCATTTTTCACGACTGGAAACTCACAGCAACTGGCAGAAGCTAAAGGAGTTTATTGCGTAAAAACGGGCACCAACCGCATCTGGGTACCTGCGTACTCACTACTGAGGGAGCTGCTACTGCAGGAGGCACACGACGGAATTACCTCGGGACACTTTGGGGTAGAAAAAACGCGACAGCAACTGCAGCGGTATTATTACTGGCCGGAGCTGTTGACCGACGTACAGCAGCACGTGGGCTCGTGCCCCACGTGTCAGGTGATGAAGACCTCGAGGAAGCGGAAGGCGGGTCAATTGCAGCCGATACCACCGCCCGAGCGCGCCTGGCAGCAGGTTACCATGGACTTCGTCACAGGGTTACCTTCGAACCCTGGGGGTAACGACGCGGTGATGGTCGTCGTTGACAGGCTGACGAAGATGACACACTTCGCTGCGTGCAAAAAGTCGATCTCAGCCGAGGAGACCGCTCGTCTGTTCATCGCAGCCGTTGTTCACCTGCACGGGATACCAGCAGCGATTATCAGCGACAGGGACACGAAGTTTACCAGCAACTTCTGGAAAAACCTCTGGGAGCAGTTCGGGACCAGGCTACAGTTCAGTTCGTCGTACCACCCCGAGACCGACGGCCAAACGGAGCGGACGAATCAGACGATGGAGCAGTTGATTCGTGCCACGTGCGACGACCCCACGACTTGGGAACAGCAGCTGCCGCTGATCGAGTTCGCGTACAACAACGCCACGTCAGCGACGACGCAGCAGTCCCCCTTCTACCTGAACTACGGGCAAAATCCTACAGTGCCCATGACGCCGAGTCCGGACAATCCGACACCACGTGCACAACAATTCGCCGAAATTCTGCAAGCTGCCCGCACCAGAGCTGCAGAAGCAATTAAAAAAGCAAATGTCATCGCTAAGCGCAACGCCGACCGCCACCGCCGACCCGTCACCTACCAGTCAGGGGATTACGTACTGCTCGACACGCAAAACCTGCGACTGCCCGACGTACCAAAACTGCGACCGCGCTACTGTGGCCCATTCCAAATCAGCCACATGATCACGCCAGTAACCGCGCACCTACTGTTACCGACCGACTGGTACATCAGCCCTTCGTTCCACGTCAGCTTGCTTCGCCCATACATCCCAACCACAAGCCAATTGCCTCGCCACCGCCCGCCATCCATGACTCGCCCTGCATCAGAGCCGATCATCGAGCCCGAAAAAATCCTGAGCCATCGGATTCGACACCCCACGGGAATCAGGAGGATTGAATTCCTCGTTCGCTGGAAGGACCGCACGCCAACTGAGGATAGCTGGGTGCCCCTGGCCAACATTGAAAACCACCCTGCCCTGCAAGTGTACCTGAGGAGCCGGGGATTCCGCGACATACACGCACTTGCGTAGCGGAGGGGGCTTCTTGAGGGGGGGGGGGGGGGTAGTGTAAGGAATTTTCTCGGCATTCCTTACGGAGCCCGACTACATCGCGTACAGCAACAGCCGTTGTTCGCCCGTTACTGCTAACGGAACTTCGCCGACTTCGCGCGCACTTTTTCACCAAACCTCGCACTGCTGGCCCGGCCGTGTCGGCCTACGCTTCGGGACTAGCCCGAGCCTCGCTGCCAGCATAGCACTCACTGGCTAGCTCGCACGCACCGCGTTACCGTTTGCATGCTTCGCATATAAATGTTCGCTCATGCCTTCGCTCACATCTTGGTACTCGTTTGACACCTTAGTGCAATTCTCGCTACTTCGATTCATTGCACCCGTAACAAAACATTATCATAAATTTTACACTAAGCGCATAAATTTTGCACTAAGCGTTCGTCACATTCAGTAGGTGCAAAAGAAATCATGCCGAGCAAAGATGTGGAAAATATATCACTGAAAGATACCGTAGGAAGGACGTTTGCGATCACCTCATGGGGAGGGTGTAGATCATGACTAATGTCTACAAGAGTTCTCACTCGTAGCAAACAGTACTCCCGCTGTCATCCCCGCTAAGTCCCCCAGTTCGTTGTGCGCTTTTGATTGGCACATGCGGAAAGACATTTGGTAATTTGCGCTGATTCACGAACCGTATAAATCACATGGACAGGACGCAGTAATCTCTATGCGTAGTCCTATCCTAACAGCTAACTCTGAATGAGCAACTAAGTCGTTACCGATTCGCATGCCTCATTTATTAGCTAACTTCCTTGTTGGTGCGCCACTGTTGCTGCTTTTCCGTCAGTTGCCTTTTTACAGGACCTTGCCCTGGAGCGTGGTGGGGAAGGCGACGGCGTCCGTGGTGTGAACGACGAGCATGCCAGGCTTGAGGTAGAAGTTGAGCTTCGTGATCGTCATGTTGCTGCCCGTCTTCCCCTGCAGCACAATCTGCCCCTTCTTGTTGTTCGCCAGCTTCTGCAGCGTCATTGGCTTGCCCCCCTTAGAGCTCGCGAGAGTCGGGATGGTGCTGCCCACGGGCAGGGTCTTGAGCGCATCGGCGGGAATCACCTTCTTGAAGGCGGAGAATCCGACGATCACCATGAGCTCGGTCGACTTGTAACTGGTGATCTTGAGCTTGCCGATCGCCGCATTCGACGGAACCAGCATGGTGAGAGGCTTCGAGAGAGCCGCTTTGACCTCCTTCATCTTGCCTGCGAGGAGGAAGAGACGCGCGGGTGGGATAAAGACGGGGCGAGGGCGATTCGAGCGACGAGGAAGGGAGAATGAACTTTGTCTGGAGGTATTGTGTGACGCAATGAGACGCCAAGGATCAAGAATAAATCAGAAAGAACGTAGTCTAAAGTCTCTGATTTAGCCAAGAAGCTCGTAGCTCGTCGCGATCCGTCGAGGTGTTCCGGGGTTCGTACCGTAAGCGTTGACGAGGGAAACGAAGCTGGTGAATCCGGATTTGTTGAGCTTCTGAATGGCCTCGTCGAATGGCGTCAGCGGCCCGGTCGGTGCGGGAGGCGCCCCCGCGCTCTTCCCAGGAGTTGTCTTGGGCGAAGTTGTTGTTTTGGGTGCGGGTGATTGAGCCGAGCAGACAACGGCAAAGCCCACGAGAGCAACGAGCAGCAGAGTGGATCGAGAAACGGCCATGGTTCCGGGATGAAGGATTCACTGATTGCCAACGCTGACAGATCTTGCGAATTTGACTGGAGGTCTGAATGAATCCGAACGGACCGGGAGAGAGAAGAAAACGAGCTGGAGCGGCACAAGAGCTATCAAGCTGTGTGCTTTGGAAGTGAGAAGCGAGGTAGGACGAGAGGTGAATGGTGAGCTTGAGGGGTTGACAGCTCCAAATTTGTATCGATGAAGAATGTCGGAATCCGGGATGGGTTCCTGCGGCAGCTGGGGTTGCGAGAGAAGGTCCAAAGAATTTGCCGAGCGGGTGTCGCGGACTGGCGAATTTTCGCCTGCGAGAATTGGCGCCATCGCGGTTCGGTTCGTCTGCAAGCGGGAACGTCGGTGTCGCTGTGGAGTGAGCACGTTGGGCACAAAAGGTTGAGTGAGGGCCGCGGATCGCCACTGATCTGCTGCAAAAATGGGTCAAGCGCATTCTACGGGCAGGCGGGCAACGGCGCGAACAAATGAAAAACCATGGTCGGCCCAAATGTTCCGTTGGGTGAAACTGGCTAGTTGGCGAATTAAGCAGAAGTGCCTGAAGTAACTGTTATGAAGCTGTTCTTGAAGCCACATATAAAAAACTTTTCTGAATCAACCAGGTGACTGCTATGCAGTAACTATTGTCTTCGCAAGGCAGCTTACATGGATGTTCTCCAAATTAAATTTTTAAATGACTCATTCACAAGATATCATATGGAAAAGTTATGATAACCGAATATTGGCGAAAGTATTTCATGTGTATTTTTTTTCATTTATATCCTTTGCGGTCTTTTTGTTTGTGTCATGGTGATCCATCCTGAGCCACAATTTGATTTGTAAATGTACTAGTTAGACTCACGTTACAGAATGTGCGTTTAGGACAGAGTCAGATTGTATTCCGAAGTTGGGACACCATCGAAGTTCCCCCACCGCAAGCACTTTTTGGGGGTTGATGGTGTCTATGTGGGGTGTGGCCCCAGTTTTGACATGTGACTAAATTTGGCGTGCGACCGGGTTCGTCAGAATCGCCTGACGGTTGTTGGTTCAGACTGGTTTCGTGCCCAATCAGAGCGCGGAAACAGTAAACAGCGTAATCTACTCAAACAGCATGCGAAGAACATTCACCGCCGGCTCATTGGTTGCCGTGGGCAGATTTTGCAAAGTTCGTGACGGTCATAATTGTAAGTTGAAGTCACTGGATTGAAGCCCAACATTCCCCGATCATCCAGGTCGCATTTTGACCTGTGCATCATTCGCACGTCATCTGACCGGTATGTTCCGTGGTGTCCAGACTTCGGACCGCGTGGGGCAACATTGAAATGACACGTCAACATTTCGAGTCGTGTGGGAGAACTTCGGATGGTGTCCCAACTTTGGAATAGCCGCAGTCTTTTGACGGAGTTTCAGCTCCTCGTTGCACAGAGCCTCACAAAACGTAAAAGACGTGTGATTCCGCGCGCTGACTTTGATGGAGTGGCACGAGGCTATTTTCTAACTTCAGCTGATCCTAGTCTAGGGAATACCGTGCAGTCCTAGTTTTCCAACACCTTCGGTTTCTTTCGGTTTCTCGAGAGTGCGGAGCAGAACAGATCACCTAGCCAATGAGGAAATAATATGATCCGTACGAGTTACATGCTCTGATTATTTTCACTCCACACTTTCTCGGCTTCCAGCTGTTTTTTTCAGCATTGCGTCTTGCCCACTCGATCCAACCTCGATTCCACTCGACATTGCGTATAACCTTGTAGGCAAGCAACGAGGAGACAGCGTGCGTAGACGGGACCGCGCGTTTATGCTCTCATGACACCGAGAAGTTGTAGTCGTTGATTAGGGTTACATAGTTCAGTCTCTGTTCTATTTGTTGCATTCTCGCGTTGGGGATCGGCGAAACTGCGCCGGGGAAGGATCCGATTCTACTAGTTCTTGGATTGGCGGGAACCCTTACCAGCTGATTGATTCACTTCGTCATAGAGAGAAAGGGGATCAAGTTTGAGCTTTACAGGGACGGATCTTTTGACTCAATTCTGCGACATAAATCGAATTGGGCTTTGCGACAATCGAATTAGACTCAGCGACACAATGGCTTCACTCGAGATGACCGATATGAAGAGTACGTTTCTTTTCGCTTACCCCTGGATCTGTGCGACTTGGTGTTACCTGCCGATTCCGAGTTCGCTTGTCGCATAGGATGCTTTGAATTGCGCTGGCCGTGCATCTATATCTCATCTGATCTCGCACTGTTTCTGCACTCTGATTCTGCTTCTGAAACATTGTGCTCATTTCCGTCTCGTGTCATTAGTGTTTGCCGAAATGCGACTCACTTCCTTTGACCCATCTTCAAGTCGTCGGATTCTTGACTCTTCCCCGACCCGAATTGGATTCCTTTTTTTCCTGCGCTGTATCTTTTGGTATCTCTCGGCTCTTTTGGTTTCTCTGGACTCTCCTGGTATCCCTGACTCTTTAAATTCTCTCGATTCTTTGGTTGCGCGTCGTGCAGAGATCGGCATTGGGCTGACTGCGTTTGGCGTGCTCTTCTCGTTTCTCGGAGTCGTCTTCTTCTTTGATAAAGGGCTGCTAGCCATGGGGAATGTGAGTCGGCATGGGGAAACCTTTTTTTGGGGAGGGGGGGGGGGGGTTGAGGGGGGGGTGCAGAGATCGGGATTGGGTTGACCGCGTTTGGCGTGCTCTTCTCGTTTTCCGGAGTCGTCTTCTTCTTTGATAAAGGGCTGCTAGCCATGGGGAATGTGAGTACATCTTGGGAAACGCGATTGTTTTATGAAAAAAATTAGAGGTTTCTGCTAGTGTGAAGATTGCCTCGGAATCACTTCTCAAATAAAAGGGCAATAGCTTCGGAAATGTGAGTACTGCATGGGAGTCGTGTTTTTTTTTTTTTGTGAGTAAAGTGATCATGTTCTTGAAAAGTTTTCACACAAACTTGTGTTGTTTCCACAAAGCGGCTTTTTGATCAGTTTCATGAATGATAACCAGAGTAAAGCGAACCATCCTGCTCTGTGAGCAGGTTTGCTCATTTTGTACCCTAAACTTTTGTTTCACCCAACTGGGTGTGGCAGATCTTGTTTCTCGCGGGTGTGACGCTCACAATCGGTCTGCAATCCACCATCTCCTTCTTCACTAGGCGAAGAAACAGAAAGGTGGGATTCGTCTGCCTCCCTCTGTGTGCCGTCTGCCTCCCTCTGCGTGCTGTCTGCCTCCCTCTGCGTGACGTCTGCCTCCCTCTGTGTGACGTCTGCCTCCCTCTGTGTGACGTCTGCCTCCCTCTGTGTGACGTCTGCCTCCCTCTGTGTGCCATCTGCCTCCCTCTGTGTGACGTCTGCCTCCCTCTGTGTGACGTCTGCCTCCCTCTGTGTGCCGTCTGCCTCCCTCTGTGTGCCGTCTGCCTCCCTCTGCGTGCTGTCTGCCTCCCTCTGCGTGCCGTCTGCCTCCCTCTGTGTGACGTCTGCCTCCCTCTGTGTGACGTCTGCCTCCCTCTGTGTGCCGTCTGCCTCCCTCTGTGTGCCGTCTGCCTCCCTCTGTGTGACGTCTGCCTCCCTCTGTGTGCCATCTGCCTCCCTCTGTGTGCCGTCTGCCTCCCTCTGTGTGACGTCTGCCTCCCTCTGTGTGACGTCTGCCTCCCTCTGCGTGACGTCTGCCTCCCTCTGCGTGACGTCTGCCTCCCTCTGCGTGACGTCTGCCTCCCTCTGTGTGCCGTCTGCCTCCCTCTGCGTGCTGTCTGCCTCCCTCTGCGTGACGTCTGCCTCCCTCTGTGTGACGTCTGCCTCCCTCTGTGTGACGTCTGCCTCCCTCTGTGTGCCGTCTGCCTCCCTCTGTGTGCCGTCTGCCTCCCTCTGTGTGACGTCTGCCTCCCTCTGTGTGACGTCTGCCTCCCTCTGTGTGCCGTCTGCCTCCCTCTGTGTGCCGTCTGCCTCCCTCTGTGTGACGTCTGCCTCCCTCTGTGTGCCGTCTGCCTCCCTCTGTGTGACGTCTGCCTCCCTCTGTGTGCCATCTGCCTCCCTCTGCGTGACGTCTGCCTCCCTCTGTGTGACGTCTGCCTCCCTCTGCGTGACGTCTGCCTCCCTCTGTGTGACGTCTGCCTCCCTCTGTGTGCCGTCTGCCTCCCTCTGTGTGCCGTCTGCCTCCCTCTGTGTGACGTCTGCCTCCCTCTGTGTGCCGTCTGCCTCCCTCTGTGTGACGTCTGCCTCCCTCTGCGTGACGTCTGCCTCCCTCTGTGTGACGTCTGCCTCCCTCTGCGTGACGTCTGCCTCCCTCTGTGTGACGTCTGCCTCCCTCTGTGTGACGTCTGCCTCCCTCTGTGTGCCGTCTGCCTCCCTCTGTGTGCCGTCTGCCTCCCTCTGTGACGTCTGCCTCCCTCTGTGTGACGTCTGCCTCCCTCTGTGTGCCGTCTGCCTCCCTCTGTGTGACGTCTGCCTCCCTCTGTGTGCCCTCTGTCTCCCTCTGAACCGCACCCTCTTGGTCTCTGCACCAGCATCGACCTTTTGAGTGAGAACGGCAATTTTGCCCTCAAAATCCTCACACGCGCTTGGCCCTGGTTTCTTAACAAGGTCTCGCCTTCCATGGTGTGACGGACCAGGCTTTGTTGCGATCCTCTAGAGCTCCTCGTTGTCTCCCTCTCCCGTTCTCTCCTTCCTCCCATTGTCCTTTCCCTCCCGTTACCTCTTCCCTCCCATTATCATCTCCCTTCTTCCAATGTCCACACATTACATGAATGCCCTGCTCGATGTTGCATTGCATGCATCTCGCCAACCGGCGTACACCCGGCTATCATGCTCCACCTTTGTCTCTACCTCAGCCCACCATGACCTCCCCTCCCCACGGTACATAGATATTGCACCAACCAGCTTCTACCCACCGTTTGTCCTCTTGGGGTTGGTTCTTGTGCTGGTAGGCCGGACTATGATTGAACATGGCTATTGTTGTGTAGGCCGGACTATGATTGAACATGGCTATTGTTGTGTAGGCCGGACTATGATAGGCATGCAGTTCGAGCACGTGGCTTCAATCAGTGATGTCTCATGTTCTCCCTAATTTCCTGCAACAGGGCTCGGCGTTTTTCCTCTCGGGGTTGGTTCTTGTTGTGATTGGCTGGACAATTGTTGGCATGGCCATCCAAGCATATGGCTTCGTTCTACTCTTCAGGTAGGCATGGAATCAAAGGCGTATTCTGTGTCGACTCACAGTGAAACTGGATGATATTGACATGGCCACCCAAGCACACGGCTTCGTCCTACTACTTTTCAGGTAGGCATGGATTTCAGGTGTATTCTGTGTCAACTCAGAGTACACCCAGGTGATAGTTGGCATGGCCGTCCAAGCATATGGCTTCGCTCTTTCTCTCAGGTAGGCATGGATTTTAAGTCTACTTCGAGGCGACTCAGAACGTAAATGATAGTTGGCATGGCCATTCAAGCATATGACTCCAAACTCGTATCCTCCCAACACGTGCTCTCTCTCCTTGGACCTATGGGTCCTGCTTCTTCTTTCTCTTGCCCCTGCTTCTCCTGCTCTTGTTCCTGCTCCTGCTCTTCCTCCTCTTCTTCCTCTTCCGCTTCCTCCTGCTCTTCCTAATCCTTACTCTTCCTTCTTCTTACTCTTCCTCTTGGTCTATCGCCTGGCAGCGGCTTTCTTCCCACTCTTCTCGTTTTCGTGCAACGGATTCCTGTGCTGGGATGGCTGCTGGATCAACCGTACATGCGTCAGGTGCGCTAAAATGCAGCGCTTCATTTATTCAGACAAACTGTATGCCAATTTTGCTGCTGTATGCAATTGGTGGGTGCCAGTTGATAGATTCTTGTGCGTGCTACACTCACAACTCAGTGTTCCCTGCTTGGTACCGTATCTTCGTTTTTGGCAGTTCTTGGGAAGGTTCAGGGATCATCTGCCTCCATAGACTTCTAAATGATATTACTAAGACTAGTTCTGGATAGAAGCTGCCATTATGGGCGCCACTGATTGAGCCAAACTTGTTAGGGCATCTGGCAATGTGAAAAATCCCACCAGGTATGTTTGGACAGCCATATCTTTGGTGCTCAAATGGTGCCAATCACACAGCTAGCTTTTGCTAAAAACTATACATGTTTTGTGGCTGAATGGTACATTGGCACAAAATTTGTTTCTAAATAAAGTTTATGCAAGTGAGCATCAGTAGCGAGACATACTGTATGACAATGTCGGCGCCCTTGTGCACAGCGCTCAGGCCTGACAAGCGTCTCGTCACCCAATCAGAACAGCTTTCGATCTTTCCAGTTTCCCGCCTTGGGGATCTCCCACCCCACCACCCCAGATGCTCGAGATCTTCGTATTTCTGCACGGATATCAGTTTCATTCTGGTGCGTTGCGTTCCAAAGCGGTGACGTGCAGCGACTGTGTAGAATCGTGAGGAACCCAGCAGAACCGCAACGCGTGAACAGACTCTGAATGGTACTCCCCTTTGTGAACAAACCAGTTCCATGATCCAAGTGAAGAACCATTCTAGCATTTCCGATAGTAATACAGTCAGTTTAGCAATCTTGAAGCAGCAATTTCAGGTCAAAACGGCCATAGCTGAACTGTCCTTGGCCATTTAATTAACGTTGAGCTTACCGGCTGTGTGGCTTTGGTGTCTGATCGCCATTAACAGCCGATTACAGAATCCCATAGCTGAACACCATGAGGAGCTTACTCTTTCTCCTCCTCGCGCTGCTGCTCGTCGCACAGCCGTTCGCGAAGCAATCTTCGTTCCTTTCGCGAGCTCACGAAGTTGACGACGAGAGTTACTCGGTCGGCGACGATGAAGAGCCGTTAGAAGCCGACGACTCCGAAATCCCGGAAGGCGACGACGGCGACGTTGTCGCATTGACGGACGCGACTTTCCCACAAGCTCTTAAAGACAATAAGCATGTATTGGTCGAATTCTACGCGCCGTGGTGCGGCCACTGCAAGTCTCTCGCGCCGGAGTATAAGAGCGCAGCGGCGATTTTGAAGGAGTTCGGAGTGGTTCTGGCAAAAGTGGATGCGACCAAGTATGCGGATCTTAGCGAGAAATACAACGTGGAGGGTTTCCCTACGATTGTGTTCATCTCTGACGGAGAGTCGAAGCCGTTCAATGGCGGACGGACAAGGTAAGCAGCAGATTGCAGATCAGGGAAAGATCTGAGAACCGCAGAATCCGAGATGTTTCCATCCATTCCTTGTTTTCAATTCCGCTGTGTGGCGTAACATGGAATATTTCTTTACATCCTTTTATTCTCGATTTTTTCTCTTTCTGTCGCTCCCTCTCGGTTTTCACCCACCTGCAGCGCTGAAATCGTCTCATGGATAAAGATGAAAATCGGCATGACCTCTTTTGAATGAACACAAAACCTTTTTTTGTCTTTCCTTCCATCACTCTCGCTTCCTTCTCGCTCCCTCTCGGTTTTCACCCATCTGCAGTGCTGAGATCGTCTCATGGGTGAAGAAGAAGATCGGCATGGGGGTGGCCACCTTCACTGCAGCCGACGGAAACGATTTTTTCCAACTTCTCTTTTCTGTACTATCTCTTTCTGACTCTCCATCTCCAGCGCTGAAATCGTCTCATGGGTGAAGAAGAAGATCGGCATGGGGGTGGCCACCTTCACTGCAGCCGACGTCGCCAAAGCGGCTCCTCTCATCGAATCCTCCGCGGCGGTTACCGTTGGCTTTTTCGCTTCTTCCGATGTAAGCCCGAATCGCGATTTCTCCAGCAGGCTGAACCGTTTGAGTGTGATTTTGTGTTTTGTGTTTCGTGTTTCTGTGAAAAAACATTGCGTTTAACAAGTAAATTCTCAACTTATTATAATTTTCTCTCAACAAGGGCCACTTTATTCTGGACTTATCAGGCTCCGGAGGCTGTTGCGTTTAACGAAGCGGCCAAGGAGACGGACGGCGTGGAGTTCGTGCTGACGAGTGACGCCAACTAAGTTGTTTTTTCTCAACAATGAAATGTGTTTCGGATGTCTCAGGCACCCGAGGCTGCTGCGTATAACGAGGCGGCCAAGGAGACTAACGGCGTGGAGTTCGTGCTGACGAGTGACGCCGACTAAGTTGTTTTCTCTCGACAATGCGAAATGTGTTTTGGATGTCTCAGGCACCAGAGGCTGTTGCGTTTAACGAAGCAGCCAAGGAGACGGACGGCGTGGAGTTCGTGCTGACGAGTGACGCCGACTAAGTTGTTTTCTCTCGACAATGCGAAATGTGTTTTGGATGTCTCAGGCACCAGAGGCTGTTGCGTTTAACGAAGCAGCCAAGGAGACGGACGGCGTGGAGTTCGTGCTGACGACTGACGCCGACGTCGCTGCTGCGTTCGGCCTGGCCAAGGACAAGAAGCCCGCCGTTGCGAGTGTTAAGAAGGAAGAGGAGAAATTCGTCGTCTTCGGTACGCCGCTTTATCTGTCGTTCTAAGCGCCGTTCGTTTGAGAGTTTTCAAGATTGATACCAGTAGTGCTCACTGCTAGTGACCCTGACATCGCGCTGTGATCCGTGCGGAATTTGCGTCTCCGTTTGATGGTCCTAATTCTCTTATTTCTCATCCTTAGCGCTGCCCTGCTCTCACGGACGCGTCCAGCTCATTGGTGGAGGCATATTCGCACTGCATCCGATTTTTGAGGCGCCTCAAAAGTCTTTGCCTGCTTTCACGCACGCGTCAAGCTCATTGGTGGAGGCATATTCGCACTGCATCCGCCCATTCCTCGTGCGGCCCTCCCCTGTTTTTGCCCGTGATCGTGGTGCAGACGGCGAGTATACCAAAGAGGCCATTGCCGCGTTTGTGACAGCCAACAAGCTGCCGCTGCTCATCACCTTTTCTGAGGAGACCTCGGCCGGCATCTTCGCAGGGGATATCAAGAAGCAGGTACGATGCGTGGTCTGGCATGTAAGAACTCTATCGTACGCCTTGGGAGGTGCAATCTGTATGTCTGTGTGTATCGCAGCCAACAAGCTGCCGCTGCTCATCACTTTCTCAGAGGAGACCTCAGCCAGCATCTTCGTAAGGGACATCAAGAAGCAGGTATTCTGTGTGGTTAGGCACATCCGAAATATATGTAACGCGTTGGCAGGTGTGTGGTATGCATGCATGGCTTATGACAAGCTGCCGCTGCTCATCACCTTTTTCGAGGAGACCTCGGCCAGCATCTTCGCTGGCGACATCAAGAAGCAGGTACGATGTGAGCTTTGGTACGCGATCAATATGTCTATGGTACGCCCTGGGAGGTGCGATCTGTATGGTACGCCTTTTCACAGGTGTTGCTGTTCGCTCCTCACGAGGAATACCTCAAGGTCGTGCCAGCCGTGGCTGCAGCAGCGAATGTGATCTCTTCTCCACACTCCCATTCTCCACACTCCCATTCTCCACACTCCCATTCTCCACACTCCCATTCTCCACACTCCCATTCTCCACACTCCCCTTCTCCACACTCCCTTTCTCCCCCCTCCTCTTTGTCACAGGCGATGCTGTTCGCTCCTCACGAGGAGTACCTCAAGATCGTGCCAGCCGTGGCTGCCCTCTCTTGCCGGCTTTCCTCACACTCCTTTCTATCATTTCCGTTCCTCCCCAACTCCCTTCCTCCCCGCTCGCCCTCTCTCGGGTGATGCTGTTCGCCCCACACGAGGAGTGCCTCAAGATCGAGCCGGCCATGGTGGCAGCTGCGAAAGGCATACGTGGACGGCCCTTTCCTCACACACTTCCTCCCATTTGCTCACTCACTCGCTCTCTCTCAGGTGATGCTGTTCGCCCCGCATGAGGACTACCTCAAGGTCGAGCCGGCCGTGGCGGCAGCAGCGAAGCAGTTCAAGGGCGAGTTGGTGTTTGTGTTCGCCTGCTCTCCCACTGTGTAGTGTGGTTCGGTGCGGTGCAGTGCAGTGTGGTGGCAGGTCAAGAGCGAGCTGGTGTTTGTGTTCGCCCTCGTCCTCCCTCCCCCTCCGCCCTTCTCTCAGGTGATGCTGTTCGCCCCACATGAGGACTACCTCAAGATCGAGCCGGTCGTGGCGGCTTTGAGCAGCATCTGTGAGCGGCTTTTCTAACAACCTTGTAACGTTTATCTCCCTCGCCCCCCTTCGCTCTCTCAGGTGATGCTGTTCGCCCCGCATGAAGACTACCTCAAGATTGAGCCGGCCATGGCTCCCCTCCCTCCCTCACACTCCCCCAACTCCCTTCCTCCCCGCTCCCCCGCTCTCAGGTGATGCTGTTTGCTCCGCACGAGGACTACCTCAAGATCGAGCCGGCCGTGGCGGCAGCAGCGAAGCAGTTCAAGGGCATACGTGGACGGCCCTTTCCTCACACACTTCCTCCCACTTGCTCACTCACTCGCTCTCTCAGGTGATCCTGTTCGCGCCTGACGAGGACTACCTCACGATCGAGCCGGCCGTGGCTGCCCTGTCTTGCATGCTTCCCTCACATTCACTTCCTCCCCAACTCCCTCTCTCCCCCCCCTTCTTGTCGCAGGTGATGCTGTTCGCCCCGCACGAGGACTACCTCAAGGTCGAGCCGGCCGTGGCGGCAGCAGCGAAGCAGTTTAAGGGCATACGTGGACGGCCCTTTCCTCACACACTTCCTCCCACTTGCTCACTCACTCGCTCTCTCAGGTGATCCTGTTCGCGCCTCACGAGGACTACCTCACGATCGAGCCGGCCGTGGCTGCCCTGTCTTGCATGCTTCCCTCACATTCACTTCCTCCCCAACTCCCTCTATCCCCCCTCTTCTTGTCGCAGGTGATGCTGTTCGCCCCGCACGAGGACTACCTCAAGGTCGAGCCGGCGGTGGCGGCAGCAGCGAAGCAGTTCAAGGGCGAGCTGGTGTTTGTGTTTGTCAACGGGTCGGACTCGGAGTCGCAGCCAGTGCACGAGTACTTCGGCACGGACCCCAAGGAGACCTCGGTGAGTGCAGTGCGGTGCAGTGTGGTTCAACGCGGTGCAGTGCAGTTCAGTGCAGTACAGTGCGGTGCAGTGCGGTTCAATGCGTAGGGTGCTGGTGACTGGTAGGGGTGCAGCAGCGAAGCAGTTCAAGGGCGAGCTGGTGTTTGTGTTTGTCAACGGGTCGGACTCGGAGTCCCAGCCAGTGCACGAGTACTTCGGCAATGGACCCCAAGGAGACCTCGGTGAGTGCAGTGCGGTGCAGAACAGTGGCAGTGCAGAGATTTGTGGTGCGGATCAGTGTCGCGCAGTGCAGTGCAGTGCGGGCCAGAGAAATGCAGTGCAGTTTAGTGCAGTGCAGTGCAGATCAATGCGGTGCAGAGCACGCAGAGCAATGCGTTGCAGAGCAGTGCAAAATATTGCAGTGCAGAGCAGTGCGGACAGTGTTCATAGTGCCATTTTTCGCTTGCGCTCCCTCTCTCTTGTCTCCGCCTTTTGACCCCGTGACTGCTCTGCAGGTGATGGGCTTCTTTATGGGGGATGAAGAGGACCCCGCGTCCACAGCTGGGGGGCTCAAGTACCGCATGAAGGAGGCGATCACTGAGGCCAGCATCAAGGTGAGGACGCATGAAGGAAACATGTGGTCGCCAGCAAAGGGCACACGGCATGTGCTGTCAAAAGCTCCTCGTCCACAGCTGGGGGGCTCAAGTACCGCATGAAGGAGGCGATTACTGAGGCCAGCATGAAGGTGCGTGGATTATTGGTGGGAATGGGCCCAACAATAAGAAAGCGTCGGAGCCAATAATAATCGAATCAGCCCAGGAACAAAATATATTTTACCTTGCTCAGCTCGTCTTGGAAGTTGATCCTGTAACCAAACCATCAACCTGGAACAATTCTCTCTCGAACCCCGTGAACGGACCGTGTTTTCTGTGCAATCCACCTGCCCCCTTGCACCCGCTCCAGGCATTCGCCAAGAGCTTCATCGATGGAGATCAGTTTTGAGGCGCCTATAATTCAGAAAAGGAGCGCCACAAAGGCCCGTGAACAGACCATTTAACCTGTACATTTCTCCCTCTCCCTTGCAATTTCCCCAGGAATTCGCCAAGAGCTTCATTGCTGGGGATCTGAAGCCCTTTTACAAGTCCGAGCCTGCTCCTGAGAAGGTGAGTGTGGAACACAACACTAGAGGCTTATGAGGTGACACCTGCTGGATTCCAAGCTGCAGTTTGTGACAGGGGACTGAATTACGAGGATCGGGATCTGAAGCCCTTTTACAAGTCCGAGCCTGCTCCAGGGAAGGTCAGTCAGCGAGGTCCGGCGAGGCATGAACTGCAGGGCTGACAGGGTTTCAGTTCGGGTGTACTGTGCAACGTAAACCAGAACCTGGATCGGAACGGGTATCAGAGATGTTTTAGAGGGCTCTCAAGCCTGACAAGCGAAAGAATTTGACACATATGCGTAGTTATCGGTGCGACTTTTGAGAATTCTCAAAAGATCTCCCTATCCCACTATCCCGTTGCCCCCCCGTTTCTCTCTCCCCCTGTCTCTCACAACGACGGCCCTGTGACTGTGGTGGTGGGCGATACTTTCGAGGAGATTGTGCTGGACGAGAGCAAGGAGCCTCGTAGTGCTTCCCTTTTCCCACATCCATCTGTCTTCCTCTGTTTCTGTTGCCCTCCTCACCAGAACGACGGCCCAGTGACTGTGGTGGTGGGCGATACTTTCGAGGAGATTGTGCTGGACGAGAGCAAGGACGTGCTGCTGGAGGTGAGAGGGGGGTAGGGGAGGGGGACGAGGAGTGTTGGCTGTTGGGTATCCAGCAAGCTGGTGGTGGGCAACACGTTGAGGAGATTGTGCTGGACGAGAGCAAGGACGGGCTGGTGGAGGTGAGGGGGGGGCCGATGGTGGGAAGGTGATGGTTGGGTGGGTGGTGGTAGGTGACTCGCTGAGAACGTTGTGCTGGACGAGAGCAAGGACGTGCTGCTGGAGGTGAGAGAGAGGCGGTGGGAGGAAGCGGGGGGGAAGGGGGGGAGGTAAGAGCACTATTGGTTGTTGGGTGGTGGTGGGCGATGCTTTCGAGAAGATTGTGCTGGACGAGAGCGAAGACGTGCTGCTGGAGGTGAGAGGCGGGCGGTGGTGGGACCAGCTCTTCACGCTGCTGCTCTTCTTCATGACCAGTGACCAGCAAGGACGTGCTGCTGGCGGTGAGAGGGGGGTCCATGAGAGGGGTACTAGGCAGTGGGAGGGGCGGAATGGGTGGTCGGTGGGAGGCACATTTGAGAAGGCTGTGCTGGACGAGTCCAAAGACTCGCTGCTGGAGGTGAGAGGGTGTGTGGAAGTGAGAGGGGGTGTGGAAGTGAGAGGGGGTGTGGAAGTGAGAGGGTGTGTGGAAGTGAGAGGGGGTGTGGAGGTGAGAGGGTGTGTGGAAGTGAGAGGGGGTGTGGAAGTGAGAGGGTGTGTGGAAGTGAGAGGGGGTGTGGAAGTGAGAGGGGGTGTGGAAGTGAGAGGGGGTGTGGAAGTGAGGGGGTGTGGAAGTGAGAGGGGGTGTGGGTGGAATGTGTCTCGAAATGGTATGGCAGGTTCTTGGAGGGTGTGTGGAAGTGAGAGGGGGTGTGGAAGTGAGAGGGTGTGTGGAAGTGAGAGGGGGTGTGGAAGTGAGAGGGGGTGTGGAAGTGAGAGGGGGTGTGGAAGTGAGAGGGTGTGTGGAAGTGAGAGGGGGTGTGGGTGGAATGTGTCTCGAAATGGTATGGCAGGTTCTTGGAGATTTTCTCACTTCCATCAAGACCCCACTCACTTCCATCAACACCCCTCTCACTTCCATCAACACCCCTCTCACTTCCATCAACACCCCTCTCAATTATCGTTTATTTCTTCTATTCCTCTTCCCCTGGATACGTGATAGGTCTACGCCCCCTGGTGCGGCCACTGCAAGTCTCTCGAGCCCACCTACAAGAACCCTCAGCTTGAACCCACCATTCCGCCCCTGTGGTCACCGGCGATCCCTTATTCTCACCCTGCCCTGCCTCCCCCCAGGTCGTCGCCCCCTGGTGCGGCCACTGCAAGTCTCTCGAGCCCACCTACAAGAACCCTGAGACTTGCCACCCACTCATTATGTCCCTCGTGCTATCCCCCTCTGTTTGCCTTCAGGTGTACGCCCCCTGGTGCGGCCACTGCAAGTCGCTCGAGCCCACCTACAAGAAGCTGGGGAAGCGATTCGCGTCGGTGGACTCTGTTGTGATTGCCAAGATGGACGGCACGGCCAACGAGTACCCTGGGCTGGAGGTAAGTGTATGTGGAGTCTGTGTGCCCAAGGGTGGGATATGCATGTGTACCATGTGAGTGGGTCAGCTAGCTAGTCATGTGCGTCGGTGGACTCAGTTGTGATCGCCAAGATGGACGGCACGGCCAACGAGTACCCTGGGCTCGAGGTGAGTACACAGGTTTATATGAGGCTGGCTACTCATAAGCCATGCGTGCCGGTGGACTCTGTTGTGATCGCCAAGATGGACGGCACTGCCACCGAGTACCCTGGGCTGGAGGTGCTTGGAAAAGGACGTACGAAACACTCTGTTTTTTCTTTTTTCTGCCTTTGCACTTTGTGTCACCTACTTTCTCACCCCCTCTGCCTATGTGTCACTCCCTCCGGCCACATTACATCCTCTCTGTCCTTCTGTCTTCGTGTCCTAAATTCTGCCCATGTGTCGCCCTCTCTGCCTTTCTCTCACCGTCTCTGCCTACATGTCACTCTGTGCCTATGTCTCACCCCCCCTCTGCCCACGTGTCACCCCTCTAAATGCAGGTTGAGGGTTTCCCAACCATCTTCTTCTATCCGGCAAACAAGAAATCCGACCCAGTAAGCCCACTCTTTCGGAACCTCCCCCCCCTTCCCCTCGCTTTCACAATCTCCCTCTTTCCCAACTATTGAGGTCGTTTTTGAGGCGCCTCAAAAACACTCTCTCGGAACCTGCCCCCCTTCCCCTCGCTTTCACAATCTCCCTCTTTCCCCTTTCACAATCTCTCTCGTTCCCCTTTCACAATCTCCCTCTTTCCCCTTTCACAATCTCCCTCTTTCCCAACTATACAACTATCTTCCTCTACCCATCTACCCAGCCACCAAAAATTCTCGTCTCAGTCAGCCCGCCCACCCCCTCTCCCTCCCTCTTCCTCCTAGCACTCTCAACCCCTCCCCCTGTTCCTCTTTCCCACCAATCTTCTTCTCTCAGACAGCAAGACATCCGACCCAGTAAGCCCGTGTTCTCAAACCTCCCCCCCCCCCACCCACTACCCCCGCCCCTCCCCCCCCCCCCCCCCCCCCCCTCCTCCTCCTTCTCCTAGTGCTCTCAAACCTGGCAATCAAGTTTGCCTTCAACTCATGCTTTCTTTGCTTCCCTGCTCTGCTTGGAAACACAGGTGAAAGTGCAAGCCACGAAGCTGAAGCAGTTCATCAAGGTGATTGTTGAGAACGCTGGAATGCAGGAATTCACTTGGACCGCCTCCTCCCCTGCTCTCTCCCCCCCCCCTCTTTCCTGCCTACTTTCCTTCAATTCAGGTGAAAGTGCAAGCCACGAAGCTGAAGCAGTTCATCAAGGTGATTGTTGAGAACGCTGCAATCAAGTTTGAACTGCCTGCCAAGGAGAAGGAATCAGCAGCAGCAGCTGACGCAGAGGCAACTGCTGATGCTCCTGGGGAAGATGTGAAGGACGAGCTATGAGATCGCTGCAATCAAGTTTGAACTTCTGGCCAAGGACAAGGATTCAGGAGCAGCAACTGAGGTTGAGGGGGCTGCCTAGGCAGCTGGGGAAGAAATGAAGGATGAGCTATGAGCTAGAAGCAATGAGCTGTCTGATATGAGTTGTAAGAGCACTAAGCCGTGATCTACACTTGGTGAGAGGTTGGTTAGAAAACAACCACATGAGGCATTCTACTGGCACTTTTTTACCAGAAGTGTATCAAGGTTGTCGGGATGCGCTGTTTCAGAAGAAAACGTTCCAACAAAAACGACATGTGAACAAAACTTGTAGCAGATGCCCGACTAGACAGTTGGGCGACTACAATGATGGATTCGACTCATTGAATGTGAAATGCTTTCTGAAAAAACTGCGAGTCTCCTCAGCAAGGCAATTGAGCGGAGAAATGAGGTGGAACTGAAAGCTGAATGTTTAGTACGCGCTACAGTGTTCGGGAATAAAATCACTCTAAACCAGCAGATCGTTTCAAGCGAAAACACTACTGGCTAAACGCCTATAAACGACTTCACTTCACATCGCTAAGTAACGTCCAGAGGAGGACGTACGCTGTTAAGTACTAGATCAGTATCAACTGCGAAGCACGAATCCGCCGAAAGCGGCGGAAGGGCACGCATCTCCGATTATTTGCGCGTCGCGGCGAGGCAGGCGGCGGCTGTTCTCTGTAACGAAACGCCGTTACCGTTTACAGAACAGTGCCCTGGAGCGTGGTGGGGAACGCAACAGCATCGGTGGTGTGAACGACGAGCTTGCCGGGCTTGAGGTAGAAGTTGAGCTTGGTGATCGCCATCGTGCTGCCCTTCTTTCCCTGCAGCACCACCTGCCCCTTCTTGTTGTTCGCCTGCTTCTGCAGCGTCATTGGCTTCCCCGCCTTGGTGCTCGCGAGAGTCGTGATGTTGCTGCCCACGGGCAGGGTCTTGAGCGCATCGGCGGGAATGACCTTCTTGAAGGCCGAGAATCCGACGACCACCATCAGCTCCGTTGACTTGTACTTGGTGATCTGCAGCTTGCTGATCGCCGCGTTCGACGGCACCAGCATGGTGAGCGGCTTTGAGAGAGCATCCTTGACCTGTTTCATCTTGCCTGTTAGGAGGAAGAGACGTGCGGGTGGGATAGAGAGGGGGAGAATATGAGTGACGAGGAAGGAGAATTGAGTTGTGACGAGACGCTTTGAAACGTATTGAAATCAGAAATCAAAGCAATGTGAAGTCGGTAACTCAGCCACGAAGCTCGTGGCTCGTCGCGGTTCTCCGCGGTGCTTTGCGGTTCGTACCGTAGGCGTTGACGAGGGAGACGAAGCTGGTGTAACCCGAGTTGTTGAGCTTCTGGATGGCCTCGTCGAACGGCGTCATTGGCGCCTTCCCCGCAGGTGGAGATGGTGCTCCGACGGCAGTCTTTCCGGGAGTTGTCTTGGGCGAAGTTGTTGTTTTGGGCGCGGGTGATTGAGCCGAGCAGACTACGGCGAGGCCAATGAGTGCTAGCAGCAGAAGGGCGGATTGAGAACTCGCCATGGCTGAGAGAGATGGTGAGGAAAATGGATCCGCTTAGCGATGTCGAGTTCAACTCGTATCTGTAGCTGCTTGCAAACTGAGTTGATCAAGGGGTGATGCTTGATGAGGAATGATGTAAGATTTCGAGTTTATAATCCAATCGGAACTCGAGCGTTTGAAAAAATTCGGGTGTCGCGTCGCGTCTCGGGTGCTGGTGAAGTTTCGGCTTCCGACGAACCCACGCAACTCAGCGTTGAACGCGGCGGCGATAACGGCTCCCGCAGTCAAGTCAAGCTCGATCGAAGGCGAACGAAACCATTCACTGCAGTGCGACTCGAAACGACTGCGCGCGACTGTGATGCACATGATCAGGGATTCTCTTTTGACAGCAAGTGGTGGGCGACGTGTCTGAACAGATCAGGGATCCACTTGCCGTTACGCTATTCGCCCACCCCAGACCAGAAGCACATCACGCTTCTCGCAAAGGGAAAAGAACATACAGGGGCCGAACAGTGCCAGAGCGGTGATCGACCAGGGGCCGAGAGGCCCGGAACTTACCAAACCGCTGTGCGAGGAGGAATTAACAGAGGGTCCTTGTTTATTGCACGTAATTCTGTTACTAGTGGCATGTACCGGCTCGCATTTTCGCTCGCGTGTCGTTTAGCGAGCCGACTAGGGCAGCCAAACAAAACTAAAACTCATAGAGAACCTGGACGCAATTGCGGGAAGGATCAACCCTTAAAAAGGGGACCTTCCTGGTATTTAGGGTTGATGCCTCCCAAGTCGCATCCGTTTCCGAATGGGTAATAATTTCTTTCCAGTGGTTTCTGATCGGGTAGGTGATATGTATCACCCAGAATATATTATGTTGTTACGTACTCACGATTTGACACGCAGATTTCTAATGCAAGAAAAAGGCGAACTGCGCGTTGTAGTAGATGGCGGTAAAAACCCTCACAAAAGAAAATGAACACAAATTTGGGTTAGTGTTAGCACTTTTCTTCTACTTATGGTTCGGCTTGTTCGCCGAGTCGTTTGGCTCCGGGTTGAAACCCTACGGTCAAGATTTATCGGTCCTACTCTGAACACCCCCCTGGCACTGTTCGGCCCCTATATGATCTTTTCCCTCTCGCGAAAGCACTGGCGATCGGACCGGTGAGGGCAACGTCAGGTTATACATTTCACACGCCCTTACCGTACCTGTATCGTGGTTCAGGACGGTTCAACACGGTGAAAAGCGGTTCTCGATTATTACCGCTCTTCACCGTGTTGAAACAAAATTTACCGGAGAGGAGTACAAAAAGTTGTACAACCTGACGTCGCCCTGAGTTGTCGAATATCGTGGATTCGACACCGAAACCAGTAGGCGATTGGTTACAGTAAATCTAATATGTCCTCAACATAAGATTCACTGGCTACAATTTCTTAAAACTGTTATATATGTTCTGACACCAAACGCCAAGTCGCAAATTCAAATTTACATCGCACACCGACAGTCCATTGCCTGTCGGCAGGTGTGAGCTGCGTCGCTCGATCGCAGCATCCGCTCCAGGCTATCGCAAAACCGACAGCGTCTCGATTTGACGAGGGAAGGAGGGAAATGAATTCCGACGCCACCGTCCAAGCCCACGTCGCAAGGCTTACATGCGATGGAGCAAATAATTTATTGCGTGAATTCCATTCAAGTGCTCTGATTATTTTTGTGCAAGTCTAACTGTGCGCATCGCATCCTTCCCTACAGAATAGGGAAAGTACATGTTAGCTCCATATTTTCAGAATTCTCTCAAAATTATCTCTAAGTTAACTCCAACAGTCCAAGTTTGTGGAATTTTGCTCACGCGAGGCCCAAATTATGTTCATAACAGGTCCTGCAGGGCTCAAATCTCGACACGTGTCCATTTCTCACCAAGAATTTCTCGACGGGCAAAAAACATAATACCCCTAGCGAAACCAGGACACTTCTAGGGAGGGATCAACCCTAAACACGGGAACCCGCCCGGTGTTTAAGGTTGATCCCTCCCGAAATGTGCCCCGTCTCCCTTGGGGTATTATGTTTTGTTTACCCCGTTAAAAAAATATCGGTGCGAAATGAACACGTGTCGAAATTTTGGCCCCACAGAACCAGTTTTGAACATAATCTGGGCCTCGCGTGAGCAAAATTCCACAAAGCTGGACTTTTTGGGTAAACTTGGAAGTAAATTTGAGATATTTTTGAAACTAAGGACCTGGCATGTACTTTCCCTACAGAAAATGCCCCGCGCAAAACCCGAAGGGCCGTTATTTGTAGACAAAATTTTCCGAAGCGTGCCCTAACCAATCGCTTTGCCAGCGTGCAACCACGTTCCCGAGGCGCGCTGCCCGAAGCTTAGCAAACGTTCCTGAAATTCCTCAGATATTCACTGATGTTGAATGCGAGACTCGGAGGTACAAATTCAGGCGTTCCACTTCGACCATCATCACCACAACAACTCACGTTCCTCTGCTCCTCTTTCAAACTATCTTTTCCGCAATTCCTCCACTCAACACTACGAAGCACACAGTTGATAGCCCTTGCATTGTTCAATCGGTCTTCTTCTCTCGCCATATCCTTCTGAGTCATCCTTCTTTCCGCAATCATGGCCGTTTCTCGATCCGCTCTTCTCCTCCTAGCTCTCGTGAGCTTGGCCGTTGTCTGTTCGGCTCAATCACCCGCGCCCAAAACAACAACTTCGCCCAAGACAACTCCCGGAAAGACCGTTGGAGCACCATCTCCGCCTGCGGGGAAGGCGCCAATGACGCCGTTCGATGAGGCCATCAAGAAGCTCAACGATTCGGGTTACACCAGCTTCGTCTCGCTCGTTAACGCCTACGGTACGAATCGCGAAGACCCGCTACGAGCGACGAGCTTCGTAGCTGAATTTCCGTTCACATTGCTTCATTTTTCGATCTGTGTCTGTTCCAAAGCGTCTCATTGTGTCTCACAATTCCTCCAATCAAAATCTTAATCCCCCCCCCCTCGTCGCTCATATTCTCCCCCTCTCTATCCCACCGGCGCGTCTCATCCTCCCAACAGGCAAGATGAAACAGGTCATGGATGCTCTCTCAAAGCCGCTCACCATGCTGGTGCCGTCGAACGCGGCGATCAGCAAGCTGCAGATCACCAAGTACAAGTCAACGGAGCTGATGGTGGTCGTCGGATTCTCGGCCTTCAAGAAGGTCATTCCCGCCGATGCGCTCAAGACCCTGCCCGTGGGCAGCAACATCACGACTCTCGCGAGCACCAAGGCGGGGAAGCCAATGACGCTGCAGAAGCAGGCGAACAACAAGAAGGGGCGGGTGGTGCTGCAGGGAAAGAAGGGCAGCACGATGGCGATCACCAAGCTTAACTTCTACCTCAAGCCCGGCAAGCTCGTCGTTCACACCACCGACGCCGTCGCCTTCCCCACCACGCTCCAGGGCACCGTTCTGTAAACGGCATCGTCGCTTCGTCGCGGAGAACAGCAGCGGCCTGCCGCGCCGCAGCGTGTGAATTAATGGAGACGCGTTCGCTCCCACCATTTTTGGTAAAACAATGCTTCCCAGCTTATACTGATCTCTAGGATTACTTGCAGCGTACGTCCTCCTCTGGACGTTACTCAGCGGAATAGTAGACACTTCTGCTTAGCCAGTAGTGTGTTTTAGCTTGAAACGATCTGCTGGTGGTGCCTTTAGGTTATCAAACCGAAGACTGTAAAGACACTTCTCAATATAATTACTTGTTTCTTCAAAATTCTGGTCCCGGGCATTTCTGGGACCAAGAGAGAGGACATGTCATATGGATGGGTCTCGTGAGCTAATCACCACACAGCTGCGTGGTTTGAGGGGGTCAACATAATAATGTGCAAAACCTTCAGGAGGCTGTGCTATTGAATCATCAGTTCAGCAGAAGAAATGGGGGATCCTGCTCCGCCCCCTCCCCCTCTAATGGTCCCAGTCAGTGAGGCAGGGTAGCAGGTGGAACTGGTGTGGGTTTTTCAATGGCGATTCGCGAATCTTGTACACCCAATCACAGACTCCACTCAAGCTTACGAACGCCGCCGCAGCCAAATTCGATTTCGAGGACCTTTGGTTACCGCATCAAGTTCTGCGCCAGCCAAGTTCTCGCCAAAGCCTCCACATTTCACTCCCAGGAGAGAGAGAGATCCGCCACAAGATTGAATTCACTACAAAATCATCACAGTTGTGAGCCAGCAACTTGATTTAGTTCCATACAATAAATCACACGCCCATGCAAAACCCATAGCTGTCACGCTTGACGGCTGATCTGGACCTAGGAAATGTCTTTCCTAGCGCTCCTCCCTCAATAAATAATGTTCCGGAGTCACCCTCGTGTAGCACCTCATAGGTATCTGCAGATTCACCTGAACCTGAGCTTCCCACCTGATATGCAGCTTCCATTTCAGAGCTCACTATCACCCTCTCCAAAGAAGCGCCTTCAAACTTCCCACTGTAGCTCGCACCCATCCAATAAGCAGCTCTTCTCTGCGGGTCATCCATCCCCCTTATAAGCTTCCTCTCCGCCTTAGTAACTACCTCGGAGGAGAATCGGCAGGACTGGGATCGGAGTGAGCGAGAAGAAGCGTTCCGGGCGGATTGCGGCGGGCCTATGGGTTGCAATTGCAGCACAGGTTGGGTCTGGGGAAGGAGCGGGTCGCTCGGGTCGAACCGACGCATTGGAACAGTGAGGAGTGCATTATCCGCGTCGGGCAGAAGTAACCGCGACGGCCGTCGATTCAAACAAATTCTGATGGGACAACACCCCCCCTAGCTGCTGCTGAGAAGAATTCTCACTTGCAACTGATGAGTTGGCACCAGCAGGAAAAGGAGCAGCCTGCTGCACCGCTCCCCGAAACTTTTTGCCAAAAGAATCGCTTAATGAAAGGTCCCTCCTGGTATGCCTGCTTCGGCTGTCCGGGAGCCGTGTCGACTCGGCTGCTGCCTCTCTGCCATATACTTTCTGCTCCTCTCTCCGCCTCACGTCACCCTGCTGCACTCCTTGTGCAGATTTTCCCAGAGACTTTTGCGGCGGCTCAGAAGTCAGCTCTTCCTGTGCCAGTTCTCCCTCAAATAGCTTCTCATCAGGCCTTGACTTGAAAGAATTGAAACTACGGCTTTCATTCACACGCAAGCGCCGCTCAACTCCTGTGCCAATGGCAATGTCACTGCAGCTCCAATTGGGTGACTTGCTATTGGCGGTTCCAGTGCTGCTGCTGCTGCTGCTGCTGGTTCTTTGGGTGCTGGTCTTGCCATTGTTGCTCTGTCTTGCAGTGCTCAAGCTGCTGCTGCTGCTGCTGCTGCTGCTGCTGCTGGTGGCCCCAGTGCTGGCGCCAACAACAGGGTACGCCCCGAAACTCTTGCTCTTCCTGGTTACCTTCCCTTTCTTCGTCCCAGCTGATTGACCCTGTGAGTAAGTGTGTGGGTCAGTGTGTGACTGAGTGTGCGGGTCAGTGTGTGACTGAGTGTGCGGGTCAGTGTGTGACTGAGTGTGCGGGTCAGTGTGTGACTGACTGTGCAGGTCAGTGTGTGACTGTGTGTGTGGGTCACTGTGAGACTGAGTATGTGAGTCAATGTGTGGTTCAGTGTATGAGTGAGAGTGTGAGTGAGATTCACGAGAGAAAGACTGCGGCTGATCAGCGGGCAAATACGACGAGAGAGAAGGGGCTCGGTGGTGAAAAACCTGTCGCTTAGTTAAACACTGCTTCGACGGGACAGACTCTTGAGTAACTGAGCCCGTTTCTTGGCTAAGTGGCGGCGACTTTTTATTAAGTGCGCGCAGCTCCTGGCAAGCAGAGACCAGCACCTGGTTAAGTGCTGCTTGGTTAAGCACTGGTTGGTTGAGTGTGGCTTGGCTAAGCGTGCTTAGGCTGGGTGCCTCGGATTGGGGCAAACCTGTGTTGCGAAGAGTGAGAGCACGAGGGACGTAGAGAGGCTTGGAAGAAGGTTTGGAAAAAGGCTTGGAAGGGGAGAGAGGTTTGGAAGTGGAGTTGCGGGAGGAAAGAAGTTTGGGCTTGGAAGCAGGCTTGGGGGGAGAGAGAGGATTGGAAGAAGGCTTGGGGGGAGACAGATGGGTGGGGGAATTCTTTTGAGGTGAGGTAACCCCCTTTGGGTGAACGGATGGGACGAGTGCTGGTGAGTGGGAGGAGAGTTGAGAGACGGAGGGAGAGGAGTGGTGGGTCAGAAGGTGGGGGTTGAGAAGAAAGAGGGAGGGAGGTGAAGAGAGTGAGTGAGAGTGCGAGGGGTTTCGGATTGACTGGGGTATTTTCGAAGAAGGGGAATGATCATGGGGTGGTGATAGGTCCTGGTATTCTGATGGTTGATGGTTCGACGATAAGGTAATGGTTGGAGATCGGCGATAGGCGATTGGCGATAGGCTTTCGATTGGAGATCGGCTTTCTGCTGACAATAGGTTATCATGAGATGAGGATTTCTTGAGTGGAGGCAGCGATTGGGAGGGGTGACAAGAGGTGGAGGGTGGTGACTGGGAGAAAGAGAGGGCTTGAGGAAAGGTGAGAGAGGAGGAAGACGAAAGGGAGGAGCGGGTAGAGGGAGGGGGGGAAGGGGAAGCGGAATGGGGAAAGGGGGAAGGGGAAGAGTGTTGAGCGCTAGGGGGAGATTGGCCGGTGGGAGGAGGAAGGGTATTGGAGGGCGGGGTTGATTGAGGTAGGGACTGGGAGGGCGAAGTAAGAGAAAGGCCAGTGAGTGAAGGTAAGAACTTGGAGGGTAGGTCTGATAAAGAGCGAGTGTGGGACGGGGCGAGAGAGAGGGGCCATGACAACGGGGGGGATTGGGTGGGGGACCCGCGACGCGATCTTATCTGATACTCCCCGTTTGAGCTTATAACGAGGATCTGAGACTCCTGGGAGAAGCTCGGCCATTGTGTTGTGGACTGTGAGCGTGGTAACAACCTGGGAGGAGACACCTGAGGGGAATCTTCAGGAGACACCTGAGGAGACACCTGAGGGGACACCTGAGGGGACACCTGAGGGGACACCTGAGGAGACACCTGAGGGGACACCTGAGGGGACACCTGAGGGCTTACAGTAAAAGTAAGCTCCCTAGGAAAGCGTATCCTGGCCGCTAACAAGGCTGGTGGGTCTACTAACGCAGACGAGTTTGTTCTTAACGTGTATGGAGCTGGCTTGTCAGCAGCAGGAGTAGCAGCCGCAGCAGCAGGAGGAGCAGCAGCAGCGGCAGCAACAGCGGCACGACTCGCATCAGGCGGAAATGCAGGCGGCGTCTGGCGGAAAGAGATTCCGCGGGGGGAAGGGGGGTAAGCAACAGTGGGGGGATATGCAGCTCCGTGGGGGGAGGAAGGGGCAGCGCGGGAGGCGCTGGCGCGGGGGGAGGAGGGGGCAGCGCGGGGAGCATTTGCGCGGGGAGAGGAGGGGATAGCGGGAGGGGCACTGCCGCGGGGGGAGGAGGGGGCAGCGCGGGGGGCACTGGCGCGGGGGGAGGATGCGGTGCTGCTGAAGGCATGGGGGATGGGGGCAGTTCCGCGTGGGGAAGGGTGGAACGCGGGGGGGAGCGCGCGTCCCCGCGGGGAAGTGGGGAGACCGGGGGGAAACGCGCGTCCGCGTGGGGAAGGGGGGAAAGAGGAGGAGGAATATGCAGGTTCGCGTGGGGATGAGGCGGCGGATTGTGAGGGGGAGAGTGCGTGTGATTGTGATGGGGATGCAATGGAATGTGATGGGGAGAGTGAGTGAGAGCGGGAGGCGACGGATTGTGAGGGAGAAGCAACGGAGTGTGAGGGAGAGATGCCATGTGGTTGTGACTGGGACAGAGAGACGATGGATTGAGATGGGGAGACGATGGATTGAGATGGGGAGATGGTTGGGGAGAGTGTGGGTGAGTGTGAGGGAGAGTGTGAGGGAGTGAGGGATGGAAGGAGGGAGGGTGAGGAGGAGGAAACTGCTGAAGGGCGCCCTTTGATGAGTATGGAGGGTGAATGCATGCTTGCCGAACCTGAAGACCCCGAACCTGAAGACCCCGAAACTGAAGACCCCGAACCTGCAGTTGCCGAACCTGTGGATGCCGAACCAGCAGAAGCCAAGCCTGCTACGGAAGAAGCATTCACGGCTGAGCGCGAGCGGTGATGGAACGCGGATTGCCTCTGATACCGTTGCTGCTCCCGCTGCTGCTGCTGCTGCTGCTGCTGCTGCTGCTGCTGCTGCTGCTGCTGCTGCTGCTGCTGCTGCTGCTGCTGCTGCTGCTGCTGCTGCTGCTGCTGCTGATCCAGCTCTGGCTCTCTTTCGCCCTGTGGAAACCCCTCGAATGCTACACTCACGGCGTTGACTAAGTTGACCGCGTTGACCGCGTTGACCGCATTGACCGCATTCACAGCTGAACGCGAGCGGTGGTGCAATGTGGATAGCCTCTGATGCCTCTGCTGCTGCTGCCGCTGCTGATCTGTCTTCTGCTGCTGTGTGTTCTGC